GGCGGCGTGCAACACGTTGCTGCCTGCTTCAGCCCGAGGGACAAAGAGTAAATTAAACAACTTTGCCGAATTCATATTTTTTCTGCAGGATTCTCACGTCTTTTATTTTGTAATCTGGTTAGGCTGCTTGATACTTGATACACTCCAGCTTGATGCTGTAGTCTACAGTAGTGCACAGGGCAGAGGTCACTTGGGACAGTGCTATATTCTGGGTCTGCTTGACTTCAAACGCCGCTATGACCTGCAAAATGATTTGGCTGGTTCTCTGCGATTCTGATCCTGTTTCATCTTGTTTTCTTAATTCCCACCGTCTAGCATTTTTTGGAACCAGGACACACAGATTCTCTTACAACTTGAAAGCTGTCAATACATAGAGGAATTCAGTGATCTGCCTAAGGTTTTTCCCCATTATTCTGTAATCCAGTTAAACAATTAAGCAAAGTGAATCGTAGAAAAATCCCACAGTTTATCACTGTGTGCAGATCTTAACCCTCCACTGACCTGTAAGAGGGTATCGGCATATCTGGGGTCGAACTTCAGTACAGCGTCCGTGGAGCTCAGGTACTGGCGGAGAGCTTCCTGTCTGTCCACCAGGCCTGCTGGGCAGCAGAGGGGGGGGCCCTCAGACTGCCAATGCCGGGGGAAGGCAAGTGGAGGGGCTGGGACCACACGCGGGTCGCGGTACAGGAAAAGGAAATGGCCACCCAATCCAAGCAAGTCTCCCGGCTTCAGCTCGGCCTCCCGGTATAGAGTGACCCCATTGTGAGTGACCATCGCGCCCCTATATGGGCGAACGAGAGCTGAAAGACAGGAGGAAGGCAGGCTGACGTTTGCTTCTGCACTCACTCTTCGGCAGATGTTGTGACTTCTCCTCCACTCCAGGAGGACATGGTGACCTTTTGGCACGGCTACCTTGCTTTGGAGAGTGGCCTGGGACAGCTGAATCTCGCCTGACCAGCAGGTGGCGGGGCAGTAGGTCCGGGCCAGACAGAAAGGTGTCCACTTTCAGGAGCCTTGAACCCTTCTTCTCCAGCTCTCTCTCCTTCTCTCTTTCCCGGGGTGCTGGTTTCCGGCCAAATACATGCATGTGGCCAGACATGATATACAGCACAAAGTCCTGAACAAATGAAAGAAAGAATCCATTACGGTCTGAAAGACGAGGCTATGATACAATCTTAACTTACACAGAATGCATTGCTGCCACCCGTGTTATTCTGCAGCAAATCAACACTGAAGTCTGTGTGAGGTCATTTTATATCAGGGTATGATGTAAACTTGTGAGTGTTTTTACGCCTTGTCTTTTCATGCATCATCCATCGCGCTATTGTGATGCTGCAGAGCTATTCTGAACAAGATTATCTCAACTGAACTATCTTGGTTGGAAACATTTCCTCTAGGTGATGAAAACGATGGCATGCAATGATAAGCGAGATGCAGGCATGACATAATGTGCTTAAGTTAAAACAGAAATATTTAATGCAAGTCTAGCCTTGCTCTGGTCATAGCCCTGCAGCAACAGGAAGTAAGGGCAGTCTGTTGGTGGAAGAATCAGGCTCTGTGACATCACTTCCAGGTCACAGGATGTAGTGTTCTTTTCTTCCTCTGTTTCCTGGGCTTGTCTGCTCCCTTCACTCCCAGCCTACAACACAACATAACAGCAGCATAAGTGTAATACCCCACTCTGCTACGCACACCTTCTCCTTTCCATTATCTTCTATTTCTATTTTCCACACCTCCCCAGAGTCTGTCGCTATCATGCTCATAATATTCTTCCTGTCGTGAATGCCACCACCGCCACCGGCAGCACCGCCTGCTTGCCGGGGGTCCTTGCTGGCATGGTTTCCATGGCGACGCCTCAGGCTCAGGTTCATGTCACTGATGCTCCTCCTCAGCTCCGTGTTTCTCCCCCGGTGTCCACGCTCACTCTGCTCGGCCTCCCCACCTGATGCCATGCGGCTCCGCCTCCATCGCACCCCTGTGAGGAGGACATGGGATTGGACCCATGAGTTGTGCTAATGGGAACTGGCATTACGAACAAGGGGGTTCCCATGGGATTCCAATCACTATTCCTTGTGCATCTTGGGAATACCCCTACCTCCACAGCTATCTCCTTCTCTCTCCCGTTCCCTCACTTTCTCCATTTCTTCCCTCTCGTAGTCCTCCTTCTTCTGGATCTCGAACCGACGCTCAAATCCGTCCTTCGGCCTCCACATATCGATCAGAAGCAAGGGACACTCCCAGGGGGCCACGCCCCTCCTGCATTCTGTCTGCCAATGGACGGCCCCGTCTGGCTGCTGGATGGGTTTCCCGATGACATCACACAGAAGGAAATCTTCAGGGCTGTGTTTAGAGGTTGCTGAGAGGAAATGGAAGGAGGATGGGTGAGGACGCCAACGTGACAAAAGACCAACTCTGATCCCTCTCAGAAACATGAAGTACAGATTACCCATTGCCGCGTGATAACAAGAGGAACCACACAATCTATGTGTCAGTTGCAGAAGTGGCACCGTACAGGGGGGAGGAATGTTAGCTCCATTCAAACAAGATATGTGGAGCATAATTGGATTGGTCTGGGTTGGGTGCCCAATACGATATGCAGTCATGGGCAGGGGTGCCAGAGGGGGATGGATATCCTGATAGATTCAGGGGGCCAAACACTTTACAGGGGCCCTTCAGTATGTAAAATTGTATAATATAAGGGAGGCAGAGGGCCCCAAGGTAACATTTTATCAGGGGCCCAGAATGGCCCTCTAGATGCAGTGCATATACACTCCTAACCATGTACCCCTTATTCCAAGATGAAAAGGAGACATCCTCTTAACAAGATGGTGTTATGCTGACCTCCATCCTCTGTGTCTCCCTCCTTTTCCCGCTCAGTGTAGCGTGTGATGACCTGTGCAATCAGCTGCCTGGCTGTAGAGTGGACATGGGCCAGAAGACTTCTGTAATTGGCTCCGCTGGAAAGGGCATCCCCGTACAACTTGATGAGTCCTGGTGCTGAGGACGGCGCTGGGGGTAGGTAGTGGTGAGAGGACGGTGCGGCTGAGTGTGCCCACAGCTCCCTCTCCCTGTCCCCGACCGCTCGGTCCCGGTCGCTGTTGGACCGCCCTCTCAGGAAAAGGTGGGACAGACGTTTAGCACGAGATTGAGGTTGTGCTGGCCGAGGGCGGAGAAAGGCTGGAGTCGGTGAGGGTGAGGGCGGGGCCAGGGAGGGGGTGGAGGCAGACAGGGAGGAGGCATTTGGAGCAGACATGGCCTCATGGATGGAGACAGCATCTGAGCTGGTGGTGGATCTAGGAAAAGATCAATTTGACAAAATACATCAAAACAGACATGAGTGGATCATGCTGTCAGCAAAAACACTTTGATTTAAATAAAAACCAAAGAATGATGGGCTGATATAAAACTAATACCAGTCATTTAGAAATAGGGAAAAGTCTGTAAACCAAACAAAAGTATGTTATCACCACAAATCAGATTGAAGGAGACAGTAACAGAGGAAAGGGGCATTTACACTGACTTGACAGAGACTGCGCTGGGCCACCTGGCCCCCAGTTTTGCAAAGTGTTTGCGTGGTGAGTTGATCCACAAGCCGACAGGGAAATGGAGTTTTCTGAAGAGGGGGCTGCTTGACTCCTCCATCTGAGAGAGTCAAGGAGAGCAGAGTCACGTAGGCTCAGCCGTTATCAGGAGAACCCTGTCTGTAACGTGCGAAACAGAATCGCTTTCTTATACAATGACCTGCTTCTGAAGCTTTTTCATATTATCAAACTCTTCTTGCAGGAGACCCGCCCTGGTGAGCCAGGAGGGATTTAGCATCTTTGACATCTGATGCCTCTGAGAAGCTAGACGTTTACACATTGATCAGTAATAAGGCTCTCTTTTCCTAACAGAAACACTCAAACACATACACACACACAGTCACACACGCACACACAACATTTTTTCAGCCAAAGGATACATCTTCACATCCCAACAGATAAATTACAAAGGCAAACCGCAAGCCTTCAAAAAGTCTTCCTCTGCTTATTGCCCTGATGTGAAATCGCTCAGTCAACTATCTATCTGATGATTACCAACTGAAACAGGGTATATCTCATATACACATTTGCATGTCTTTTTTTCATCAATTTTCAAAAATAATTCTATTTTATATGTTGTGCTTGGCTCAGCTCAAGCCTTTTGGGATTCACTGTGCTTTAATCATCAAATACAAGTTGTCAGGGAGTGACAAAATGGACGCCAAATGTAACAAGTAGAGAAGATTCTTTAGGTTCTAGGCTGCCAGACAGTTACATCTGTACTAGACTGGTAAGTTCTTTTCATTTTTATTATATTTCAGTAGTCATAAGTATTTTATTTCATGGTATTAATACTGATATCTGGTTCCAGATAGAAATTGCACAACTCTCGAAAGTAATTGCAGTGGGAAAAATGTTTTAGCATTTCAAGAAGATTGCCCTAGGGCCAAAATATGAACCTTAATCAGTAAGTGGATAATTAGCGATTACCAAATATAAGTTACACTAACAGTCCATCAACAGCTGTCAGTTCTCTACAGGATAACAGATGACATGTGAAATTAGAGCTTTAATATTTCAGCTTACCTATGAAGATGTATTACGCTCCACCACTCAGGGATGGCGTTGATATGGGTGATCAGTGCCAACTCCTAAAACGTGTTCTCCCGGCGCGTCTAGCAATCGTTTTTGTCTTTGCCAAAAAGGACAATTTATTCCGAAATCTTAGCTTTTCTTTCCATCTTCAAAAGGGACTGCCCTGTGACACCCACCCTCACTCCTTCCCTTATGCCTTCCGTTCTGAGCCCATATATACCTTTTTAATAGGAGATTTTGTTGTTTTTTTTTGTTTGCCTTTTCATCTGTGGGTTTCTGCCGTCTGACTCTGGCTTACTCTCACGCTCCCTTTCTCTCCCTCTTCGTCTATAGATAGAGAATTGGGCCCATTGTTCTAAGTGACAGAATTTCCTTCCTTTTAGCTGGACAACACCTATATCCTGAGAGAGGGAGAGGGAAGTGCGGGGAGGTGTAGAGCAGGACCACTGACTGACTAGACCTGCTAGCCATTCACACAAGCCTTGGAATCCAAACTTCAGAAGGACCCAATTCAGTACAGCGTATACAGATGGACTGTGGGGAATTAAAGGATTAAATGCAGGCAGTTAAGTGGTGGAGGCAGTAGTGGGGGGGCTAGGGAAGACATTTGCTAATGCTCCCCGATTTTAATTGAAACTAACAGGGGAAAGAGAAGGGGAACACAATGCTAAGGTTGGTGACCAGCCGGCCTGTCCAGAATATTACTAGAGAGAGGAAAACAGTGCAGCAAAAAGATCCTGTGGCCAGCGTAGCTTATCAGACAATTTTCTTTTTGGTTACAAAACACTTTGTAAAAAGGGATGAACTCTTATGTTGTGATAACATGAATATAGTAACATATTTTTATAGAATTTTTAAGATATATTTTACTTTTAATTGTTAAGATGTATTTTATTTGATGGCCTACTTCTTCTTGGAAGTTTTCATAAGGATTATTGTTTGAGGCAGGAAATGAGACAGAGAAAGACACCTGTGACCTCATGACATTATCTTTGACAGGAAGTGGGGGACAGGAAAAGAGAGGAAAGGATTTTGGCATTTGTTTTGTTTGACTGCTCGGTGTATGTGTTTGGGTGTTAAGTATATAGAAAAAGGGTGGATAATTCCACACCTTTTGTGTATCACTGCTATAGAATTTGTAAAAATGCTGAAAGTAAAAGCTCTGATTTGCAGCTAAATATTTTCAGGTTAATCAAGCACCTTTGTTTTAACAAAAAACAGGTATCATTTGGAAAGTACTTTTCCTGCAAACTTAATGGCCAATGCAAGTATTCAGTAATATCAGACTTAGGACAACCGTCTGATGTTACAATTGCAGTTTTAGGATTTAAAAACAGTAAGAATGTGGTAGAGTACATGGGCAAGAACAATAAAATTAAGAATTACATTATTTTCTTTATTTCTTTAAGTGCATTTTACTGTTTAAAAACAATTCCTAGTTACTTTGTGTCCTGTTTTCAGAGCCCTAAGAAGGAGAACAAGTCCTTGATGTCAGGAAGCTGGAGCAGACCTAGGTTATGTCAGGTGAGAGTTTGTTTATGGTGAAACGCTGCATGAATCTGCTGTTGGCTGTTATCTCTGACAGGAAGTCAGGAACATACAGTGTGAGCCCAGCCTGTCGTCTTGGGCTCTTAATGGCTCATGTCTCAAACAATGGCCACACAAAATGCCTTCACATTGCCATTGTTAGTCACTGTTTAATACTTCTCCACTAGGAGTGTATGTTTTGGTGGGGGTTGGTTGTAGAATTGAAAAGGCATTGTCTTACATGTAGGGTTGAAAAACTATTGTCTTTTTCCTTGTATGAATAAAACTATTTTATTTGTTATATTGTGCCTTGCTACTGTGAAGAGTCATGCTTCACATCATAAAAGCAAAACGTGCCTGGTTGTTGCATTTTTTGTAAAACATCAGTATTAATTGAATGTGAGTGTTACATAGGTTGTAACCAATGGGGGTAAGTTAGGTTTCAAGCATTGGTTGGGGACCAAATCAGCCCTGAACCCCCACCCCCCTAAACACACACGGTACTAGAGGTTTTAAAATCGCCCGTCTGGCACCCATTCATAAGCTGAAGGGTGGAGCTGAGGGGAACCGTGATTTTGTGACGTCCTCTATTTGTGCGTCCCCTCTTTGAATGAAGGGCCCATTAGCCAATAGAAACGAAGCAGCAGCAGTCAGCGCCACTTTCAAACAGGAAGGTAAGTGATTTCTTGTTCTCCATAACAGCAGTTGGAATTAATGTGTGAGTCGTTATAATACCTGAAATCAAACAAGTGGACAATTTGCGCACTTCATACAGAGACTAGTCATGGGAAGTTCGACTCAATTAACTGATTCGATTCTTTCGAACGTCCGTTGTAATGAATCGATTCTATGATTCACTTTTTTTTCTCGTCTCGTCCGTTGTGATGAATCGATTCTAAAATCGATTCTATGATTCGCTTTTTTTTTCTCGTCTTTTGACAGTATGACTCAACGAATCATCATGGGATCGGATAATAAATCGAACGGTGTGCTAAGGTTGCGTTATTTGACTGAAAGATGGCGCTGGTGTTCAACAAAAATGTTCAACTTGACTATTAACAATAAAAAAAAAAACTATATAAAAAGCACAAAGGGTGTCGATGCTGAATAAACATGCGTGTATATATAGTTCTTATTTTCTTGACTTTAGCCAAATTCATGTGCATGAGTATCAAGGACTACATAACAGTTAACAACTGCAATATTATCAATACAATCACACATACAGATACAATGAGCATGAGTAAACTTGCATACGTTGTTGTGTAAACGTCACAGTTAATAAATATCTTTGTTTTTTATGAAAGACATAGTTTTATTATGCAGAAATGCAATAATTTACTGTTGTGATAAATGATGAACAGCTGTGTTTATTTTATTCCTTTTACAGTTTTTTTCCAATCATTTTAACGCGTGTCTCAATACCATGTCCACTTTTTCACACTTAACATATGCACCATACCATTGGACCATGTGAGCTAAACTATTTATACGTTTGCATTGCTTTGACACAATATGTATTCAATGACCACTTCCTCCAAATTTCATGAATACTTCTCTCAGTCAGTGTTCGCCACCAGCAAAACTTTGTACAACCACAGTCGATTTTTCAGATGTTTAGATAATCTGTTCAAAACAGTTAACTTTCAGGTCAAAACCTAATGAAATTTAGAGCACTCTAAATTGAAATATGCTGCTTTTTGACAGACAAAGGACACTATGCCCTTGCACTAACACAAATAATTATGCTTTTTGCAGAAATTTCATAATCTTGTTTTTGTTTGCTGCTTCGTTACCATCTATACAAATGAGGCCCATTACAGTAAAACATTTGCATTTATTCATTTAGCATACACTTTTATCCAAAGCTACTCACAATGAAGTACTGTTTCTATAGGGACTGTCCCCCTGGAGCAAGTTGGGGTCAATCACCTTGCTCAGGGGCACAATGGTGGCACCCCCCTTGGAAGAAATGTGATAGGAAGAAGAGCTACTACCATTGATTCTCCAGGCCAGAGGGGCACTAATATTACTATGTGTGCAGCAGTATAAGGACTGCACCTGCACAGGGCTGTAATTGGCCCATACAACACAGCCCTCCTGGTTAATTTTCTTGATGAACTGTGGGAAAAACTTACTGCCCCAAGAGATCAAGAACGGCAAAATTTACCAACATATTGTATGGGACAATGTGGC